TTGAGCTGTCAGTATTGCAGTTATGACCTAATGAAAAATTAAGAAGATTCCTGAATCAGATGTTAAATTACATTATACTGGAAAGACAGAATACCAGACATATGTAAAAGGAAAGCAAGAGACCTAAAAACACTGATTTCTATGGAAATATTTCCAGAAGAAACTTTAGATCCAGACATAATTTTACTTATGACTTTAACCACCTACGACCCGAACTCTTCCAGAGCATGCATTTTAATTTCTCTTTGATATTTGGGCATATTGGGACCCGATGAATGTAAAAACAAAGGATTACCAGTTTTTTGTTTTACCCTATTTTTGTTTCTAAGAAAAATGAGAGCCACATATGAGGATATCCATTTAAAATTTCGTAAGAACAGTAGCAGCATAATGTCCTCATAAGTGGATATCAGGCCCTTGTAGAGCAAAATTGAGTATTTTGGTCTAAATAACCCAAAGTGTGATGTCCTAATATGTGGACGCCAGGTCCTAGGAGGTTAAAATGACTTATCACAGTCATCTGGTCACTTGATCCACATCCTCTAAAAACTTTTTCAAAATGGAAAGGTTTAAATCTAAATGTAAATGTAGAGAGGGTGTCTCCTGTTGTGCTTTGTATTATTTACAGAAAGCAGACATGTTCTGGTTGGTTTCTGTATTGATTACATTATCAGGCTTACTTAGTTTTAATTTTGTTACCTTTTGCAAGATGCAGAATTAAAATTCCAATTGAATCAGCTGTGATAAGGTGATATTTTACAGAACACTAATGACTGATATTTAGGGATCTAAATATTTCGTCTATGGCTGCTTGTTTGTTGTGTTGTATATATACACACCTCATGTGAGAGTCCTGCAGCATAAGGCAAAACGGGGCTTGGTGTCAGTCTCTGGAACTTTAACAGGCACTCATAAATCTGGAGACAAAGCACCAAATGATAACTTTTAGTTTGCAGACAGATGGTAGGTGTATGTCTTTTACTCCAGGACCTTTGAATCATGTACCTTCAGCAGGGCACAAAGCCACGGTGCACTCAGTAGTTCATGCAAAAGCTGAGCACCATTAATGTTCCTGCTAACAGCTTGGTCAACATCCTTCACCACACTGGATAGTACCACACTGACACCTGAACAAATGATGACATAGGGAATTAGGGAAGACACAGGGAATTCTTGGTAAATGGACTGGTAGTTATGCACCACCTTTCTACACAGCTGAGCGCTCAAAGCACTTGCAACTAATTCATCAAATTACACACACAATCATATGGCACTTATGCCTATGCAGCAGTTCAGGAAGTGCAAACTGGACTCCAACCAGCTGCTGACCTTCTACCACTTCATTGAGAGCCTGCTGACATATATCACAGTATGGTATGGCAGCTGCACTAAGGCGGATAGAGTGAGGCTTTAGAGTGTAGTCAAGGCAGCACAGAAGATAAATAATCGCACAAATCAAATATTTGCTTAAACAAACTGGAGATACTGCTATCCAGTACAGATGCTGAAGTGATCCATACATAGCTAATTCAAGTTGGTTAGCTTGGGGAACAAATTTGCATTGTCTGAAATGTTGACATTAAAATGTGGTTCGAGTGCTTAGAGTAAAACCACATTTCCATATTACTTTATTTCACATTGGTACAATAATATCAGTGGAGAAAGTTTTTTAGTAATTGAAAAATAAAAGTGCTCTCATATTGTCCAAATTTGGTTTGATTACTGTATTGTTCCAGTGTTTGCTTAACTGTCTCTTTATCTTTCACTTGGTATTGTCAGAAATAGTTAGAATTGGGGCATTAAAACTGGGGTACTGCATGATTAATTACACTGCGACTGACAGATTCCAATGAATGTCTTTAATATAATTGCCTTTAATATCACAGCAGATGTTTGAGGTTTCACATTTCTCCTGAGCAGAAGGTGAAAAGCCGACAGAACCAGACAGGATTAACATTATAGAGAAGCCCTGACCCTTCTTTTATAATAAGTCTTTTCAAGTAAGCACCTACTCATGACTGAGACACATGAATTCAAGTCTACTGAATTTGTCTGTATACGTGTATGTGCTTCTCACCATCCTCCATTGCTTGTTTCATGGTAATTGTTCAGAAGAGAATGAAAGGGTTATTCCACTGAAAAGATATGGAGAAAGAAATAAAAAACAGATTTATGTAACAACCTCATTTTTTACATATTAAAAATAAAACAAATCTAGATAATTTAACAATCTTTAGTTAGTACCCATGTCATTATTAAACATAATTCAATTCATGTTGTGTGTGACTATCATCTTGTTTTATTACAACAGACAAAGAAAGATGACACATTTACATTTTCATTCCAAAAGCATTTCACCTTAGGCAGAATATCAGGTTGATCTTCATGTTTTCAAGGCATGAAAACACTCAAAATTACTACTTGGTATGGATATAATCTTCAGAGTTTGGAAGTTATGGCTGATAACCATGATTTTCATTCAAAATTGATCAACAACAGATCTTGATGCCCTGGACAATTTGACTGCAGCTGGATAAAATGAGTAGTTTTTAAGTTAATTGTACTTCAAAGTTAAGAGTCTGTAACTTTTGAGAGATCATAGCAAAGTCTTACTATTATGATTAAATGTTATGGCTGTAGAAAATAGGTGTATCTTTATACCATGTTGTAATACACATTCTACCTCAAATGGTGTCCAAATAACTAACTTAAATCATGCTGTGATTGTTTTTATTTTTTATTTTTATTGTGTAGTTTTGGTCGTTATTAGGGGTTACTTTGAATAAATACATAAAATGAATATTTTACAAATAAAATGTTAATGTTAAAATTTATTAAAAAAAAAAAAGAACAACAAATGATCAAAATTGCAGAGCAATGTTTAAAAATTATGTTCCTTTGAACAGCAGAGAGGGAAACAATGAATGAAGTGAATGTTTTAAATGCAGCTTATCCTACTTTAGAACTTCCTGTTACAGCAGCAGGTTACTAAATGTGGACTAATTTCAGGTTACGGCTATTCTTCAGCTGCTTATCTCGGCTCAACTTCCGTTTCCACTTACACTGTCCGGGAAGAGCTTCCATTAGTCATGAAACCTTGGGTTCTGTGAAACTCGTTACACAGTTTCATGGAACTTCTTTTGGACTATTTCTGTTGGTGTCTCTTATCAATCATGTAAGATACATATTATCATTTAAAAAAATAAATTGAATCCAGACCTATATACACCAGGGAGAACTTTGTTGCTTTGCTATTGTATATAAAATATGCAATATTTTATTGTGTCTACATTATCGCCAGGAGGGTCCCATAGTGGATGGCAGCATTTATTAGTATTTCTTTGTGATTATTCTGTATGTGCGTAAATCCTTCATCCCTCATCCCTCAAGTTCTTGGTATTTCAAATGCTGTGCTACTAAGCAAACACAAAAAGGCATATAAAAAGTACAGTGAGCAAATAGGCACTCAGCTTATTTGCTCATCAGCTGTAAGTAAAGCCCCATAGAGCAAGCAGGAAGGCTGTATATGCTTAGTCTGATTTTTTTTTTTTTAATCAATTGCACTACAAGAGTCAGAAGTGTCAAAAAAGGTAAACTCACATTCCCTTCCTGTGGTCCAATTGTTCAGTGTGAGATTTCTCAGTTGAAAGGAACCAGTAGGGCGAGTGTGTCAGAAGCAGTCAACGCCAACAACATGAATGTGAGTTTACTACCAAACCTGAACTGACACTAATCCTCTCTGACCCCACTTAATCCACCAACCACCAATCTCCCTCTCTCACTCCCTTGTGCTGTCTCCTGCTCCCCCTTCTCTCTTCCCTGTTTGCTGATTTTTGCAATATTTTAAAAAAACATTTCGTTATCAGCTTGAAGTTTTTATCGCTAACCCTGTCAGTTTTCCCATGTCCACTTTTATTCTAGTTCCTGCTTTCTCGTTGTATTCTTCAGCCATTCTCATCAACTCACTCTCTCATTCACTTTAAGTAAGTCATCAAATCACAAAGCTTCTTAACTCTTCACTGCTTTTAGCCCCCCCCACACACGCACACAGTATAATCACACATGTTTGTATAGCTGTCTTTGTGAGAACCCTTTGTGGCATAATGCATTACCCTGCCCTTTATCTTAATCTTCCCTTAATTCCAAATCAAAGCCTAAGACAGAGCCCAAAGCCTCAAATAGCCGTGACAAGCGGCAGGTTTGTCACGATGTGAAGATCAACAAAGTGATCCTTTATCTTTAATGTCCTCATAAGCGGAACATTGGTCTTGATTCTCACAATAACTGTTGGCACATACAAACAGCAGGTCAGCAAGCCAACCAGAATCAGAGTGGCAGCAAAGAATAACAGTACTTCTGGTGCATTAAATCCCACTGCAACATCTGGGTGAGGCCAGCCTGTGTCTGCTTTGTGTATGTGTGTGTTGGGGGTTATTGCAGGGTAATGGTCACTGGGTCACCTCCTCCAGGATTATTCTGCTTTCTGAAGGATCAGTGGTAGACAAAAACACAAAGAAAGAGAGAGAGGACATATAACAAAAACAGATGCAAGAAAACATGGAAAAGTAGTACCATGTTTTTCCAGCAATTCTTTCTCAATATCTGACCAGCTACAGTTCTTTGCAAAATTCACATAACAATACGTGATCAAGTGATAAATTAAGTGATAAATTAGGAATATAGATTTCGTGTCATGACTAGGATAAAGGGAGATTATTAGGGCCATATAAGGGCCTCTGTGATTTTGACTCAGTGGGTGTGGTCTTGCTGTCTTTCCAGTCTTAGACGCTGCCCTTCTTTACAGCTGATTCTATTTAGCAATTAGGCCGGAGTGCTTAAGTCCAAGGAGAAAAGCATTCCTGTACCAGAGGAACTTTTTGCTTTGCATGCTGTTAGGTGGATGTGTGACTGTTTATGCTTACTCTTTGAAAAGTTTGATCATTTAACCTTCTCAACTTACTCCATTGTTTAGTAGCTAACTTATGTGTTTTCTTGCTTTTGATGGTTTTGAAAACTCTGTTTTCAGATGTTTATAGAAAGGGAATGCTACACAGTAGTGAATATGGCCCTGTCCCAAATTCCTTGAGACTTGTTGCTGCCATCAAATTCAAAATGAGCTAATATTTTTCATGAAATTTTGGTTAGCACTGTTGCCTCACAGCTAGAATTTCCTGACTTCAATTCCAACATCAGGCCGGGGTCATTCTGTGTGGAGTTTGCATGTTCTTCCCGTGTTTATGAGGGTCCTCTCCGGGTATTCCGGCTTCCTTCCACAGTCCCAAGACATGCAGTTAGTGGGGTTAGGTTAATTGGAAACTCAAAATTAGGTGTGGGTGTGAATGGTTGTCTGTGTCTATTTGTTAGCACTGCATCTTGCCTTAAGACAGCTGGGATAGCCCCACCCCAATAAAAATATAGGGTTAATTTGGGGGGGGGGGGATTGATGTAAGCCTGTATCTTATTTTGAATAAAATATGGGGTTATTAGACTTACAAATCATTGCATTCTGTTTTATTTACATTGCCTTATAATTATTTTCATTTTGCATGAATGCTTGTGAATCTCCACAATATTTTTATAGTGGACAAATATATTACTTTTGTTATTTCCTGAAAATGTATTGCTTATGTATTTTTAAAATAGTCATTATTAGCTAGAAACATTCAAGACGGATGGTCCAGATGGGCCTGGGCCCCCTTGCCCAGGTGGGTTCCAGGGTATGGGTGTGTCTACTGGGTCAGCCGGGGAGCTGGCCCCAGGGAGGGGCCACTTGCCCCTCCCTTCCTTCCCTCCCCATCTCCAGCTGCTTCCCTCTTCCCGCTCCACCACAATCACCCACACATGCAGGGCCTTGGGGTAAAGGTGTGTGGAGATGAGGGAAATATTTTACTGCTACTATTCATAACCATCATCATTTCATCAAAGTATTTATTGAAGCTGTTGGCATTATGGTAAAACTTGTATTACAGGTGTTATCATAATCACATATTAACATTTTCATTACAGGTGCAGTTATAATCATTTTATACACACATTGCAGGATTGTGCTTCTAGAGAGTTGATGTTCGGTCTATTAAAGTTCTTAAGCTTCGCGTGGCGTGACTGTCCAGGCGATCAATGGTGTAAGTGACTTGGAGCAATAGAAGGTTCAAAGCATGCACGCTTACAAGCACACATGAAAGTATTGATTCCAGGCCAAAGGCCTGAGATACATTTTGCTTCTAACTGCCTTTTAGCTTGCCTAGTAACAGGTGACAGAAGACAAGTCAAGAAAAGGACAAGCCCTCAGGGACCATTTAGGCTTGCAACTTATTGCCTTGTATGGAAGGTGTGATAGAAAAAGGAACTTCTTTGTCTAATTTTAGGGGTTTAAGATTGACCATTTACTATAACTGATGCATATTATGTTCATTTGTGACGCATGAAGGGGCGTAACCCTGATGAATGAAACCATTGTGAATAGACCTTTTCGGGGAAGATCGATGCTGGTGTGGCAGTATACATCTTCCCACGCGTGTACTCAATAAATCATTGTTTGACTGAACTTTTCTGGGCCTCTGTTGGTTTGTTCCATTGCTCAACATTTTCGAACCCACAACAGGTATGTCACCAGGGTGCAGGGGAGGCATCCCCCCCTCTGTCCCCTTCTGGCTGCCTGTGCCTCAATTTTATCCCACAACTTAGACATTCACATTACTCACACTCTCATTACACATACATATAGGACCTTGGGGGTGGGCATCCAGAAGACCATCAGGATGTACAACCTCACCCCTGGCGTCGTTGCCCACCTTTCAATTTTTAAATACACGTATATATTGAGGGCTATCAGGAGGGGCTATGCGCTTACCTGCTGCTCTCTGGCAGGTAGCTCCATGCCCTCCTGGGTTTTAAATGCACCTTAGAACACACATGCATCAACACTACATATGAGCAGGCAGGCGGAGGGAGGTTTGGAGTCTTCTCACATCCCCGTTCTCTGTTGCCTGTTGGGACGGGGAGGCTGGGAGGAGTTGACCGTTTGATTGGGGTCTGGAATGTGGGGCCTCCCTGCTGCTGCGGAGTCGGGGCGGTCTGCTTCTCTCCACCCCAGGGAAGAGGGTAACACTACCTGGGTCTGGGTGCAGTTTCCCCCTCTAGGGACAAGGGTACGTAGACCCAGGGCTTAGAGTACGCTTGGGGAGTGTGATTGTGTGTACAGTGTCTATTTATGTCTGTCTCCACGTTGGGTGAGTGCTGAGTAATTGCATATGAGAGCATGAGGGTGGGAATGGATGTTTGTATCTGTGTGTGCCTGTATGTCTGTGTCTTTATGTCAGGTTGGGTATCAGACGCCAGCTCTCTAGGGACATCTCAGGCCCTCCACTCCCCCTGCCAGTGGCAGACGCCCTCAGACATCGATGAATTGGTGGTTCTTGGTGTCCGGGAATGAGCGTCCAGGTACGCACGGGCTCACTCCTGGCTTGGCAGGGCCTGAAGCCTGGGGTTCGCTCGGGCCCTTTCGGGGGGTGGGGTGCCCTCGGCCTCTGGGCCTGGGGCTCGGTCACTCTGGCACAGCTGGCTGCCGGCGGAGCTCACGGGCCTCAAAGCACTCTGTGTGCGCTGTCGATCCCACGTGCTGCACAATAATATTCATTATTTAGTATTTACTGTTATATTCACATAGATTATCACGATGATGTTGTTTATTATATTGCTCTCTTTTTTGTTGCTTGTTTTCTCTTTTTTCTTTCTCAACAGGTGATGCAGGTGATGATATATGTATTTTTTGTCTGTTTGTTTTGTTGTTTTTTGTTTTTTGCCCTTTATCACCGTTCCTCTTCCCTGCTGTTTTTCTTTCCCTACCTCTCTTTCTTTCTCCCTTTTATAAAATAATAATAAAAAAGAAACATTCAAGACAATAAAAGTAGACAAAATAAATGAAAAAGGGAAAAGAAAATCAAAACCTTCTGCACTATAAAAGACCCACAAACACATTTTCTAAACACTAAAACCAAATTGTTTATTCTGCTAACAGTTTGGTTTCTGTCTTAAGATTTTCAGCTCTTCAGGTTTCATAGAGGTACAAACTCTTTGTAATTAACTTTAATCAATGAAATCAAAATGACCAAACAATAAAGGACAACAAGGAAAAAAGTTAAAGTGGGCATGTTTTGCAAAATAAAATTTAAATTTAAAAGCAATTGTTCACAAATTATGAAAATATATATGATATGTAAGGTACATTATGGCATAAAGATTAAATGTGACCTCTATGTTAAGATAACTCAATGATAAAGGGTGGTACACGCAGGGTATGGCTTTGTTTTTTTGCATAAGTTTTCTGAAATCACACACACTTACTCTGAACCTCTTTTTTTCATGTAATTTAAGTCAAGTCAGAATCTTAAACTAAGCTATATACAATGGACTTACAAAGGCTGTTACCAGTGTCATGTAATACTAAACAGTGGTCTATTTACAATTTAAGAAAAATGTTTTAATAAAGCCTCCATAGCTTCCGCTTATCACAAGTAAAGAAAGTGTACTTTATTGGTCCCCGTAGGGAAAATCCTAACCCTAACCCTAACCCTAACCCTAAGTAACTGATAATGATTAAAAGAAAAAGTCAACATCTTTTGATATGAAGTGTAACAAGAATTCTGTTACGGATCTTTGATAGCTTGAATCCATAAAGTAAAGGAT